TACTTTCTGCTGTCGTTTTGTAACTAGCTAATAAATAGCTGCACACGTTGACATGGTTAATTGTGCTTGACATATCCGAGGCATCCTACCTCCCCTGTCATACATAACATTACATGGTGTCAGATGGAGCACATACGACCACCACCGGAATTGGATTTTTCAGCATCATATGGAAATCTCCCCTAACGATGGAGGAAAGGGAAACAAACCATGCTGTTATATCTTATAAACATAGTCATGCACTTCTGGGACGAAAAGGATCTTTGCAGTGCATTCCTCTACATAATCGGGCAAGATGGGCATAAAATTTTCAACACGATGTCATTCCGGATGACGACAAGGACAAGATAGAACCCTCGCTTAAGGAATTCAAGGAGTACTGTGCACCCCGGGAAAACATAACGGTATGGAGACACAGATTCCACACATGGCAACAAGGTAAAACAGAGACAATCGATCAGTATGTTACAGATTTGCGTGTGATAGCTAAAAACTGTAGATTTGGAGCATTAGAGGAGGATATGTTGCGCGATCGTATTGTTTATGGCGTAAACTCTGAGAAAGTGAAAGAGAGGCTACTTCGTGACAACAAACTGACATTAGAGAGCGCACTGAGTGTTTGCAGAGCAAATGAGGAGTCTGCTATTCACTTTAAAGACTTGCACAGCGAGGAAGCTACCGCAGCCGCAGTGTTCTAGAAATCAGAAGACCAAGACCATCCCAAGCAGTCAGCTAACAGAAACAACAGAAAGAAACAGAACACAAGACCGGTAAGCTCACATAAACAAACAAGAGGCCCAGGGGCCACATCTCTCACTTGAGCAATTGGAAAAAGTACATATCAGATCAGAACTGAAAGTTTACAGGAGGGGGGCTTGAACTTTAACCCCAAGGGGGCCATGATTTGAACAAACTAAAAATCTACACTACCTGAGGATGATTCCCTATAAATATCACTAAGCATGGCTTTGAAGTACTTGAAATTAAGATTTTAAAAGGTTTCCCTATATATTCCTATGTAAAACTTTAATTGGCCATTTGGCCCCACCCTACCACCTGGGGTCATGATTTGAACAAACTTGAATCTACACTACCTGAGGATGATTCCACATGAGTCTCATCTTTCCTGGCCCGGTGGTTCTTGAGAAGAAAATTTATAAAGATTTTTCCTATGTATTCCTATGTAAAACTTTGATCAGCCATTTTGGCCCCACCCTACCCCCAGGGGTCATGATTTGAACAAACTTGAATCTACACTACCTGAGGATGATTCCACGTGAGTTTCATCTTTCCTGGCCCAGTGGTTCTTGAGAAGAAGAGTTTTAAAGATTTTTTCTATATATTCCTAAGTAAAACTTAGATCAGCCATTTTGGCCCCACCCTACCCCATGGGGTCATGATTTGAACAAACTTGAACCTACACTACTTGAGGATGATTTCACATGAGTTTCATCTTTCCTGGCCCAGTGGTGCTGGAGAAGAAGATTTTTAAAGATTTTTCCTATATATTGCTATGTAAAACTTAGATCGGCCATTTTGGCCCCACCCTACCCCTGGGGGTCATGATTTGAACAAATTAACAAATTTGAATCTACACTACCTGAGGATAATTCCAGGTGAGTTTCATCTTTCCTGGCCCAGTGGTTCTTTAGAAGAAGATTTTTTTTAAAATGCCATTAATTTTTCTCTCATTCATAATTATCTCCCCTTAGAAAAGGGCGTGGCCCTTTTTTCGAACAAAGTTGAATTCCCTTTACCCAAGGATACTTTGCAGCAAGTTTGGTTGAAATTGGCCCAGTAGTTCTTGAGAACAAGATGAAAATGTAAAAAAGTTTACAACGACAACGCCGACAAGGACGACAACGACGACAGACAACGGACAAATTGTGATCAGAAAAGCTTACTCGAGCCTTTGGCTCAGGTGAGCTAACAAAAGGCCCAGGGGCCACAGCGCTCACTAGAGAACATCAGGCTTGAATTTACCCCCCCCCCCTTTCCAGGCGTTCATCATTTGAACAAACTAGAATCTACACTAACTGAGGATGATTCCATATAAATACCCCGGGTATCACTAATCATAGCTTTGAAGTACTTGAAAAGAAGATTTTAAAAGGTTTCCCTATATATCCCTATGTAAAACTTGGGTCGGCCATTTTGGCCCCACAGTATCCCCAGGGCCGGGGGCCATGATTTGAAAATACTTGAATCTACACTACCTGAGGATGGATTCCATATCAGTTTCATATTTCCAGGCCCAGTGGTAATTGAGAAGGTTTTTAAAAGATATTTCCTATATATTCCTATGAAAAACTTGAGTCGGCCATTTTGGCCCCACCCATGCCCCTGGGGCCCTGATTTGAACAAACTTGAATGTACACTACCTGAGGATGATTTCACATGAGTTTCATCTTTCCTGGCCCAGTGGTTCTGGAGAAGAATATTTTAAAAGATTTTTCTTAAATATTCCTATAAAAAAATTAGGTCGGCCATTTTGGCCCCACCCTTGCCCCAGGGGTAATGATTTGAACAAACTTGAATCTACACTACCTGAGGATGCTTCCATATGAGTTTCATTTTTCCTGTCCTAGTGGTTCTTGAGATGAAGATTTTTAAAGATTTTTCTTATATATTCCTATGTAAAACTAGGGTCGGCCATTTTGACACATCCTTGCCCCAGGGATCATGGTTTGAACAAACTTGAATCTACACTACCTGAGGATGATTCACATGAGTTTCATCTTTCCTGGCCCAGTGGTTCTGGAGAAGAAGATTTTTAAAGATTTTTCCTATATATTCCTGTGTAAAACTTGGGTCGGCCATTTTGGCCCCACCCTTGCCCCGGGGTCATGATTTGAACAAACTTGAATCTACACTATCTGAGGATGCTTCCACATGAGTTTCATCTTTCCTGTCCTAGTGGTTCTGGAGAAGAGGATTTTTAAACATTTTACTATAGATTCCTATGTAAAAATTGGGTCGGCCATTTTGGCCCAACCCTTGCCCCGGGGTCATGATTTGAACAAACTTGAATCTACACTACCTGAGGATGCTTCCACATGAATTTCACCTTTCCTGGCTCAGCGGTTCTGGAGAAGAAGATTTTTTTAAAATGCCATTAATTTTTAACAAATTCATGATTATCTCATCTTGGAAAAGGGCGTGGCCCTTCATTTGAACAAACTTGAATCCCCTTCACCCAAGAATACTTTGTGCCAAGTTTGGTTGAAATTGGCCCAGTGGTTCTTGAGAGGAAGATGAAAATGTGAAAAGTTTACGACAACGACGACGACGACAACGACAACAGACAACGGACAAATTTTGATCAGAAAAGCTCACTTGAGCCTTCGACTCAGGTGAGCTAAAAATTAAAGTGAAAACATGTGGAAAGTGTGAGACTAGTCATGATGTTAGGAATTGTCCAGCGTACGCGGGTATGTAAAGGAAGCATATAAGTCATTTTTCAGGAAATTTAGACTTTTTAAAGAAAATAAAGTTTGATAATTTACCAAAAGCGCTGATAAATGTAAACTATTATTATTCATTGCATAAAGATAAAAGAGTGTCTAACGCAACGACGTGCATCACTACCAGGGCATCACGTGACTTCTTTTAATAGCGAATTTTCCTTAATAAAGAAGTTAACAGAACAAAACACCCCCGGAGATTACACTTTCTTTGAGTAAATAGTGTAGTTAAAAAACATCTACTTTGCCTAAAAAGTGCTGCTAGAATCCCACTGTCCCGTTAGTAAAATAATTATTCCACACATTCGCACAAAACCTTACGCTATGTTTTGAATTTTTTTTTTTTTTTACATATGAACCGTGATTTTTCGTGAAACCATGCTTAACTCGGGATTCTAGCAGCACTTTCCACGTCTTGTAGGAGACAAACTTTACAACTGTACAAATCATATGTTTTGAAATATACAGCTTGTTGTTGTTCTGTTGCATTATTTTTGTCACAAACGACAGAGGAAAGGCCGACCGAGATACGTTTATAGATGTCTTCGAAAGAGAATATAATCGATGGAATTAATTAGAATATTTGTTTTATTATTTGAACTCCATATGAATTTCACAAAATATTCACGATATTTACTTTTAAACTCCATTTTACGTATCTTTGTACATGCCGTCTTAGCCTAATTCTCTTTACACGACACGATCAATTCCAGAGTTTACTTGATGTACACATAGGACGTCATCGGTGGTAGATTTTAATCAAAATGACAAATACAGTATAATGAAATAAGAACATTTCATTGTTGTTAATGTTATCACGTTTCTATTCATTTTCAAGAGTTAAATTTCATCTCTAAATACCAGTATTACGAAAACTTGTGTTCTAGAATTGACGTCATCTCGCCTACTATGACGTCATAATGTAGCACTGATTTAGTCAAGGTAAAATATTTTGTATGCTTCCTTATTCCCCCTGCGTACGGGAAAAGCTGCCTGAAGTGCAACAAGCCGAATCACTTTGCTAAAATGTGCAGAACTAAAACTGTGAATACTATTGAGCACGATGAAGTACCGACAGATGAAGAATTCTTTATAGACGCAGTGAACAAAACCCAAAGTACTGTTGTCAAGGATGATGCATATATGAATCTCGAGTTCAACAAAATGACTGTAAAACTGAAGATTGACACAGGCTCACAAGTGAACATTATATCAAGAGATGTGTTGAGTAAATTACCAGTGACAAAACAGATCAAAAAACCTCAGTGAAGTTGACAAGTTATACTGGCAACCACATACCTATTATCGGAAAGTGTTTTCTTACACACAAGAATCACAACTTAGAGTTCTATGTGACTAAAACAGACACAATACCATTGCTTGGACTCAAATCTTGTGTAGATCTTGGACTGGTAAAGCTCACAATGGCGACTCAGAAAAAGGAAGAGGACACGGAACTATATGACGAGTGTCTAATCAGTTTTCCAAGGTTTAGGGTGTTTGTGGGAACCGTACCACATACAGATTGATTCCACAATGAAACCGATTGTACATCCACCTAAAACATTTCCAGCAGCACTTCGAGATGATTTGAAAGCAGCATTAGATGGAATGGAGTCCCAGGGCGTCATTGGAAAAGTGGACCAGCCAACGGAATGGTTTAGTTCCATGCAGAAAAGTCCAAAGGTAAACTAAGGATATGTCTAGACCCACGGGATTTGAATAAGGCTATAAAGCGAGAGTACTATCAACTACCCACGATTGAGGAGATCACTACTCGTCTTGCAGGTGCCAAAGTTTTCAGCAAATTGGACGCCAACGTTGGTAATTGGCAGATACCACTTGACCCGGAAAGCCAAAAACTAACAACATTCAACACACCTTTTGGTCGTTATTGTTTACGAAGGATGCCTTTTGGAATAAATAGTGCTCAAGAACTTTTCCAGAAGCATATCTCACAACATTTCAGCCATATTCCTAGAGTGGAAGTGGACATAGATTATATTTTGGTCTGAGGAACTTCTAGAGAGGAACACGACCAATGATTAAGAACAGTGCTATAAAAGTGTAAAGAGATAAATTTGACTCTTAACAAAGACAAATGTGTATTTCGAAGTTCTGAAGTAACATACATTGGACACATTTTATCATGTGAAGGTGTCAAACCAGATCCCAGGAAGATAGAAGCCATCACTAAGATGCCCCCCCCCCCACAGGACAAAAAGGGAGTTGAACAACTATTAAGGACCATCAACTATCTGGCGAAGTTTATACCTAATATGTCGAGGATAACACATCTCATCCGAACTCTTTTAAGGAAGGATGTGACATTTTATTGGGACCATGAGCAGGAGAGTTCATTCAAGGAAATCAAGAGAGTTTTATATGAAACACATGTTCTTACATTTTATGATGTCAAGAAATCTGTGATTGAAAGTGTAGATTCGTCCAAGTCAGGATTAGGAGCTGTCGTTCTACAAAATGACAAACAATACGCACAGATAGAAAAAGAACTCCTTGCGGTGACATTCGGGCTGGAACAGTTTCATCAGTACACATATGGTGTTGACGTTACAGTGGAAAATGATCACAAACCACTCGAATCAATCCTGAAAAAAAACTTTCTCAAGCACCGCCAAGACTTCAAAGACGTACACGTTTACATTCAGATACAATCCTGGCTAAGAACTAGTAGTTGCAAATACATTATCACGAGCATGCCTTCCAGTCAACAGGAATCTCAAACTTTGACTCAAGAGTTGGATTTCTTTGTTCACTCTGTGTTCTTACAAAGTGTGCTTATGTCAAGGAACATTCTCGAGGACATTCGCAGGATAACTAAATGTGATAATGACCTTAAACGAGTGAAAGAGTGCATTCAGAATGAATGGCCTCCATACAAACAGTTTAAGCCAACAAGACATTACAGACATTCTGGAAGGTCTGAGATACACTTACTGTGGTAGATAGACTGATTCTCAAGGGAGAAAGAATAGTGATTCCGAGAGATATTCAGCCGGACATCTTGCGACAATTACACACAGGACACATGGGCATCGAAAAACCAAGCATCGAGCTAGAAGCATAGTATACTGTCCCAATATGAATAGAGACATTGACAATATGACTCTACAGTGCAACACATGCATGGATTTCAGAAATCAAAATCCTACGGAGCCTCTTGTCTCAACAATCATACCTGAAGGACCATGGCAAGTCGTAGGAACAGATTTGTTCAGCCTACACAATAGTGACTACTTGGTTGTTACAGACTACTACCCCAGATATTTTGAAGTTGCAAAGCTACCTAACACCAGAAGTAGTACTGTGATTGCCAGACTTAAGTCCATGTTTGCTAGACATGGCATGAAGTCAAGAGTGACAATGGACCTCAGTATATTTCACAGGAATTCAGACAATTTGCTAAGGATTGGAACTTCCAGCATACTGCCTCTAGTCCTTATCATCAACAAGCTAACGGACTTGCAGAGAGAACAGTTTAAACGGTAAAACGACTACTTGAGAAATCCAGAGTTGACGGAAATGACCCTTATTTGGCTATACTGGAATACAGGAACACATCAACGGACACAGATACACCAGCTAAGTTATTGATTAGCTGAGAGTTGCGATCCATATTACCTGTTACCAAAAAGCAACTTAGACAAAGAACTGTGAAAACCAGAGACGTCATCAAGGATCGAAAGGAAGCACAAAGGAGGCAACAATATTATTTCAATCGCTCAGCTCGAGATCAACCAAAGATTTCTATGGGACAAGCTGTTCGATTCAGACACAAAGATGAATGGAAACCTGGTTATGTGATGAAGAATGAAAACCGATCATACTGGATGACCAAACCAGAAGGGAAATACCGGAGAAATCGGAAGGAGAGAAACTTCAAACCAAAACAAGCTAGTTACATTGATGATGAGCCTAACAGTTTACAGGAATCCGATACAGCAGTAGACTCTCAGAGTGCCATCGTTTCTGAACCACAATCTCCACGTAATCCTACTGGAAGTTATCGTACCCGATCTGGACGAGAAGTAAGAAAGCCCAAACGTTTCGAGAAATAGATTCAAGGATGTGTCGGTGATGAATGATTTGTGTAAATAACTTTGTTTGTAAACTGGGGCAGAATAATCCCCAATATTTCTAATCATTTTATTTGACTGGGCAGTCTACCCAAGTCATTATGTGTTCTCAAGTTTAAAGTTGTTGTGATGTGTAGACCAATTATTTTATAAGAAATTTTAACAAAGACATGATTGGCTGAACTTTAAATTTTATTACATCAAAATTTTGTAAAAGGAAAATTGTAATATTCATAACTTTTTTTCCGGATTTATGTTATTGACTTTCGTTTTGTAACTAGCTAGTAAATGGCTGCACACGTTGACACAATCTCTACCCAGAGTTATCGTTCCACTTATACCTCTGTCAACGTCTAAAAAGTAGTACGGAAGCGGAGGGACGTGTTTTTTTTGTTTTAAATGTTGTTTAAAATTGTCACAATTAGATAAACACATTTACATTTCTATATATGTGTTAATGCTGCAAGTTGTTTGTCTATAAAAACTAAATCATGTTTATATTTATCGTTAGTGCAGTTTAATTTCACGTTCGTAATATCCTGCCGAGAAATAATCCCTGATAGGATATCATGGTGAAAAAGCGATATCTGATTCTAATTCTCATAAATAAACTTTATTTAACATGTTAAAGAAGAAAATAGAAGTTACTTTTATAATTTATGATGCAATAGGTGAAAGTAAGTTTTGCCAAGATTCTTGGCATTTAGACGTTGACATAGGTGTTGTAGCGAAGCGAGCGACAACTCTGGGAAGAGATTGACGTTGACATGGTTAATTGTGCTTGACAAATCCAAGGCATCCTCCCCTGTCATACATAACATTACACAAACAGTGATACTGTACAAATCAATATGCCAAAAACAAAGCACAAGAAATTTTATTTTTGTTAAACAAAGCACTGTTAAGACTGTGTTGTGGTAATGCAGCTTAAATACGACGTCACATGAGATCAGAATCGAGAAGTGCCAATGCCACGTGCGGTGTGAAAACACTAATCTTAAAGTAGACCAATATTAGCACTACGGCACTAATTAAAGATTAGTAAAACAAGATTGTACAGTTTTGAATTAATTTAAGGAAGGCTGGGAACAGATTTAGGCTAACAGAAAAACAATTAGGCAATAAAGATAAATATAAACGACATTTCTGTGAATGATACATGTGTAATATACCTATGCACTGACCACGGATATGCTACGCGTAAGAAAGGCGATAATTGTCGGCTTACGAGTTGAACTGATAGTGATAATTCGCAAGAGAAGTAATGAATCCGATTTTATTTAGACAAATTTATTTAAAATTTATTTTGGATAATAATCATTACATTAGACGCATACCCCTTCCCCTTCAACCTGCTTACCCATCAATCACAATGCATTTTTTTTTCTAATATTCGCTTTAATATAAGCTTTGAAAATAGTTGATTACTTGCAGCTTACTTACTCTCTGTAAGAAAACCATTGAATTTGTGATTATCAGCTAATCACGTTCAGATTCATTGTCTCTTATCTAATTACAGACAAGTGTGTTGTTATTCTTTTTTAGCTCACCTGAGCTGAAAGCTCAAGTGAGCTTTTCTGATCACATTTTGTCCGACGTCCGTCTGTCTGTCTGTCCGTCTGTAAACTTTTCACATTTTCGACTTCTTCTCAAGAACCGCTGGACCAATTTCAACCAAACTTACCACAAAGAATCCTTGGGTGAAGGGGATTCAAGTTTGTTCAAATGAAGGGCCACGCCCCCATTCAAGGGGAGGTGATTGGGAATTAATGAAAATTTGGTGGTATGTTTCAAAAATCTTCTTCTCAAGAACCACTGTGCCAGGTATTGTAGATTCAAGTTTGTTCAAATCATGATCCCCGGGGGTAGGGCGGGGCCACAATGGCCGACCAAAGTTTTACATAGAAATATATTGGAAAATTCTTTAAAATCTTCTTCTCAAGAATAGCAAAGCCATAATTGATCATATTTATATGGAAGCATCCTCAGGTAGTGTAGATTCAAGTTTGTTCAAATCATGATCCCCGGGGGTAGGGCGGGGCCAAAATGGACGACCAAAGTTTTACATAGAAATATATAGAAAAATTCTTTAAAAATCTTCTTCTCAAGCATAGCAAAGCCATAATTGATCATATTTATATGGAAGCATCCTCAGGTAGTGTAGATTAAAATTTGTTCAAATCATGACCCCCGTGGGTAGGGTGGGGCCAAAATGGCCGACCAAAGTTTTACATTGAAATATATGGGAAAATTCTTTAAAAATCTTCTTCTCAAGAATAGCAAAGCCATAATTGATCATATTTATATGGAAGCATCCTCATGTAGTGTAGATTCAAGTTTGTTCAAATCATGACCCCCGGGGGTAGGGCGGGGCCAAAATGGCCGACCAAAGTTTTACATAGAAATATATAGGAATATTCTTTAAACATCTTCTTCTCAAGAATAGCAAAGCCATAATTGATCATATTTATATGGAAGCATCCTCAGGTAGTGTAGATTCAAGTTTGTTCAAATCATGACCCCCGAGGGTAGGGCGGGGCCAAAATGGCCGACCAAAGTTTTACATAGAAATATATAGGAATATTCTTTAAAAATCTTCTTCTCAAGAATAGCAAAGCCATAATTGATCATATTTATATCGAAGCATCCTCAGGTAGTATAGATTCAAGTTTGTTCAAATCATGACCCTGGGGGGTAGGGCGGGGCCAAAATGGCCGACCAAAGTTTTACATAGAAATATATAGAAAAATTCTTTAAAAATCTTCTTCTCAAGAATAGCAAAGCCATAATTGATCATATTTATATGGAAGCATCCTCAGGTAGTGTAGATTCAAGATTGTTCAAATCATGACCCCCGGGGGTAGGGCAGGGCCAAAATGGCCGACCAAAGTTTTACATAGAATATATGGGAAAATTCTTTTAAAATCTTCTTCTCAAGAATAGCAAAGCCATAATTGATCATATTTATATAGAAGCATCCTCAGGTAGTGTTGATTAAAGTTTGTCCAAATCATGACCCTGGGGGGTAGGGCGGGCCACAATGGCCGACCAAAGTTTTACATAGACATCTATAGGAATATTCTTTAAAAATATTCTTCTCAAGAATAGCAAAGCCATGACAGGTCATGGGACTACTTTTGGATTTAAACTTTTCAATAATAAACCAATTTCTACTTTTTCCTAGCCACAGTGCTCAGGTAAGCAATGTGGCCCATGGGCCTCTTGTTAAGTAAAATAAGACTTATTTTAGCATGTTTAGGGACAAACTAATTTTAGGGACAATAGGTATTTGGTGTGTATTGTTATTGTTTTTAATATGTACAAACTTTGTTCATATTGAGTATACACTCAAACCTTAACGGTTTATTACTGGAAAATGTGGCAATACATGTATATTTCTTCTCGACAAACAATCCAGAGTAGAGCTCATATCATGAAAAGTAATGCGTCAACATAACTTTTGTTTTTAGCTTATTCTTTTTCTTAAATGCTTTTTGGTAAAAAGAAAACACATTCTTGAAGATTGAGTTCATTAGTTTTTCTTAAAATGACCGAGATTGACCTGTGAAGCATATTTTCTCATACTACATTTTTATACATTAGCACAACGAAGTGCAAATATTTATAAGAATTCACTCAAAACAATGATTTTATACGGTTTATTAACAGGTTTTCTACTTTATTCTGTGTATTCCAGTTGAATATTTAGCCCTTAACTCATTTTATTCAACAAAATCTAGAATAGGTAAATTTCAATATTTTAGACGTGGGGGTATATACTTTGAGATAGCGGAAAGGTAAACACGTTGACATATATTTTTTCTTGTGTCCATCCATTGCTGGGATGTATGAATAACTTGTAAAAGCAGAGTTTTAAAGACTGAGCCTATATAGTGCCGAGTGTAAAACAACCTTAATTGACACTTTTAAGGTATCTGTACTAGCCTGATGGTCTTAACATTTACATTTTAACGGCTATAACAATCATATATACACCCCGCCCTCATTGACCAAATTTTGTATATCTTCTAAATTAGTTTTATAATTATGGGACCTGAACATAAAAGACAGTTTAAATCCATAAATATTCGTCTTCTACCTTTTCATAGCGTGTTTTTGTGCATACCTGTGCATGTGTATGATATTCGTTGTTGATTTTCAAGTACCGGTATAACCTCATACTTACCCCCAACTGACCTTATCAGGCGGAGATAAAATTCAGTCCAGCCGAACCCAGTTTTCATCAGGCGCTCCAGATGCTTTGTACATAAGCATATAGATACAGATAACAGAATAATAATAATTTATACTTGTAAGGAGTCCATCAAATTTAACAAGCACACAATAACGTATTATTCCTACTTATTAAAGCAAAATGAGCTGCAACTTTGATGTCAGAATTTTTTGTTGCAAAAATGTAAATTACTATTTCATTAACAGAAAAAAATAATGTTAATAAACTTCTGATGTTCATATTTGCGATAAAAAACTATTTCTAAGCTTCGGTTGAATCAAAATTAAATTATTGTCGTCCTGTACAATAATGATTTCGTATATAGAATGGTATATTGGATTATATATAGAAGTCTTTTTTCTTCTTTATTGAAGTCCAATTGATCATAAAGGTTCAAGTTAAATACAAAATTATCACAGTAACACATTTTAACAGCAAAATAAAATTTTCGAAAATGCAGCTCATATTGCTTTAAACACTAAGTCTATGTTTAGAAGTAAAATGTGCATGCATGTATTTTCATTTTTAGAGACCTACTGCCAAAATAATTGTATTTTTAGCGGGAAACGAGGGGAAGGGAGAGGGGTTGTAAACTGTCATATACATGTACGTAATGTAAGCATATATCTATATGTGCTATGCATGCATGTACCTACACGTATATAAATACAGGGTATGTTGAGTTGATAGAACGCAATACGCTAGATCCCATTATATGTAACCTTATTAATCTTTATTACTAACCCCTAACCATTATATTTTTTATTTACTAAAGAAATACACTTCAAACATTTACACTGACATTAGAAAAAAAAACAACAACAAATAAATCTTATATTTATGTTGTGTAGTAATGTTTAACCTAAGAAAAAAAATAAAGACGTTTTTTTAAATAGCAGAAGTATAAGAAAGACAAGAAAATATGCATAAATTCATCATGTAAAAAACTCTTAAATTAAATATGCCACTGTATTTTATTCAGCATTTGGTATTAGAACTTATTGTATTTGATGTACACTCTAATTGTAGGCGGGATTGCGTTTATCAGATTTTAAATACACTAATTGGTAAACAAGTTTGTTTCTTAAATCTGTGATGTTTAATGATAAAATCGCATTGATTGAAAATCTTATGAAGCCGAGCAAAAAATCAACTTGACCCAGCAATCGGTCAAATCTCGACTTTAAAGTCTTTTACACAAGAGTTGGGGTATGCCCTTGGCCCATTTAAACACGATCAGTATATCAAACGTTTATAAATCAAATTTAATATTGTTTTGCTTTAGCCAAAAAAAAAAATCTTAAACCAGATACGGTCTTGCACTTTAAATGAAAACAAAGGACAGGGGTATCGTCATGTGTCAAAGCTTATCTAATTCAGTTACTAATATGGCGAATTATTATTTAATTAGCATGGTCATTTTATTTGTTTAAATGCATCCGCCGTCACCGATTTGGCCTTGATAACATGATATCGGCTGATTACGTATTGACGTTAATTGAAAACCTTTGTCCGTCTATCTGTTTGTCTATCTTTATGATCTGGCATGGCGGATTACGCATAGCTTACACGTGACGTTTTATTTTGTCAATCTCAGCAAAGTTATTGCTGATATAGAGGGCAAAAATATTTCATTTTATAAATTATACACTGGTCGTGTTAAGAGGACATAATTATTTCGAAATAAATCAGTAAGTCTAAATAAATTCATATGTTTAAAACAGTCCACAATTAACATACGTTTATATAGAAAAGAGAAATTTTCTTTATTATAAGATAATTGTGAAACTTATTTAAAGATGTTATTTGAAAAAAAAAAAGGATAGTTGAAATTTTATTAGTGGGTCTAAGATGTACATGTATATGCTTACTTTACCTTGAATTTTTAATTAACCTTTATTTCAATGATCTTATACCCGTAAACGATATGCATGAAAATTTTATTCTTATTAATATTTTCTTTCAACAAATATCAAAGGCAAGATTGTTTCAAGCCTGGAAAAAAAGTAAAAAAAAAAAACCAAGAAATTAATATTAATTGCAACAAAATATACCCTTTTACTATAAATAAATATGTAAATGGTTTATGCAAATGAGTTTTACGTTAAAAATCATATATTAACATATTAATATTTATTCCTAATTACAATCATTTTTATCAAGAAAACAATGTCATTTGGTTTTCATTCTCTTTGTTATTTTAAAACAAGTTCAACTAATGGTCCGCAAAGTGAAGAGGTTTCATTTTGAAGGTTACGTGTAACTTAGAAACATTAAAGTGAACAAGAATAATAAAACTGGTAAACATAAAAAATTAAGTTTCTAGTATTGCATTTCTAAGTAGATGGGTTGGAAAATCTCTCCTTTTAGGACAGATGATACAAAAAAAGGATGCCTGGATTGGTATATATTTTTCGTCCATAATTTCAATGCAAATGATACAAATAACAAATTTCTAGAATATAAAGAAAGTGCAAACCTTCTGTGATGTTCAAAAGTGTGCCCTTCTGAAACCATCCTTATTAATTTATACAAATATTTTTCACTTTAAATTCCATTTTTGTGTGCTACTATGAATAAAAAATGAAAAACTATGCGATGAAAGTTATTCATTTTATTCATTTAAACATGACCCAAGTTGTAATTTTCAATTTCTTTGACGAAAGTTTGTTTGTATCATTTGCCCTTAACATGAAATTGTTGATAGTCATTCATGTTGGAAGATTGCAACATATAGGCTGCGTAAAAGTAAATGTACCTGTTAAAAATTGTAACAATGAAACCTTTTTTTTACAATCGGCAATTGATATTCACATAATAAAAAAAGATTGAAACATAAAAAGATGTCCTATGTTCTTACGATTCCTTGTGGGACGGTTAGTTAAATGTGAACTTTTAAACTTTAAACTTTATATTGATAGACGGTTTTTGGTCATGATTGCTTGTAGTTTTCATTGACGATATAATGTCAAGGAATGATTTGACATAGGGTTTCCGCGGTAAATTGACAAAAACTTCAATCTACATACAACTAATGAAATTCAACTTAACAAAACATAGGTACACACTATGGAAGATGTATATCTTTGATTTGGATAAAAGTACCATATTTACACCCAATTACTAGTGAATCTGTGAAGCCCTTGAAGTATATGAGTGTAAGGAGGTACATTTTTTTTCTCTTTTGGCTGGTCACTGTATTTTATCGAAATCTACATATTTGTTTAAGGCGAAATTTATACTTTACTGCGCTCATATGACAATGTCTACAAAAATTGTACAATCTAGCTTGTCTCTCCTAATAATAATATGAACAGAAAATGGGCAGTTGTTTTACGTTAGAATGAATTCATAAGCTTATTTAGGCACCGGCTTGACTTTTCTGATCGACTAAAAAATAAAAGGAAAATTTAATGCATATGATTGAAAAGGGAATTTTAGTTGCTTTCCAAAAGATAATTTAGATGCATTTTAATAACAGATTGAATGCGAATCTACAATCTTCTATCACAATTACAAACATTTGATATATTGTAGAACTTTACAGTTTTGTAAGTTGATTAAATTGAGAAATGGTAACATGTTTTCCCGTGAATCAGTGAATGCAAATTTCATGTGCATTGCTTTGTCCGAAAACGATAAACGACGAGGTTTCATGCATCAAAAGGCTTTTGTTGATTTAAAGTTTGATAAGTGTAAATAATATCTATTTTGACCTTAACCACGTGTCTGTGATGAAATATAAACACCTAATAAAACAGCATTTTTTCCTTTAGTCATTAGTTTCGACAGTCAATCTCTGTAAGCGACCAAAATAAAAAAAAACAATAGCTGTATAAGGAAGATTCTTCGAAACAGCATATCCTTCTAATATACTAAGACGCGTCTATTTTATATATATCAAAATATAAAAATCGAATATATGGTCACAAAGCAGGCAAATTTTTGCTATCACAGGGTCTAAAATTTCATGGATAATGCAGTATTTACACTATTCAGAAGGAGATACTTTCCTTCATTCTAATTTGGGAAAAAAACGAGAATATTTGTAAATTTAGTATATAATTAATTGTGGAAAAAAGGGACCACACACAATAATTTTGTCACCCTATCCTTTGAAGTCGCACGAACACTTTTTAATATAGAAACAGATGATAAAACTATTAATATTGTAACGTGTAACCTAAGGGTTCGTTTTCAGGAGATGCAGGGTCCAACATATCTAAATATAAATGAACGTTTCCTATGGCTCTATCTGAGCCTATAATTAATACTGGGAATTAAAATTATGTACAAGTATGATTATTTATTATTTTCATGGGATCCTTGTCCTTATTAATTCTTTTTTTTTATATATAAACAGCGGGACACAAAAGCCGAGGTTCTCTGTCACCAAGTACAACCTATATGACTGGGTTCCCTGCACCTGGTTCCGAAACCAAGTTCTTATTGTAATGAGTGCTCGGTACCTCACCCTTATTCAGGACTACTATACCTTGCGCTACACTACAATTTCTTGGCTTACCATTTACCGGCGCTCTGTACCCTAGCCTTACTTTTATTTCACTATTTTAATTCTTCTGTTCTAATATGAACTATTATCTTCTTTTCAACTTCCCACTTCTTCTACGGGTTTCAGAACGGTCGAGACTGCCTCTGCAGTCTTTTATATAGCCAAGGGCTATACTATTCAAACAGGGGTGAACAGGCTCCTGGACTGTTCCATTATTCCAAGTCACACCAACGTTTGAATGGCATAGGCCTTTTTCATTACTCATTACAATATTTTATGATTTCTTCGAAGTTTAGAAAAAGATTTCTCCAAGTTTTACATAATGTATACGAGGGTCATTCAAAAAATATGTAGACAATGCTTCTCATAGCCATATGTTTATTACAAGATCATAGATCAACACATTTTCGTAAACATAAACATTTATTTTGTCGAAGTGTGAAGTTTCATTCCATTTGATTAAACAGAATTCACATTAGCCAAAATTAAACGCAAGATGTTTTGTTACCACGGAGCACGGTTAACCAATATTGTAACGTCAAAAACAACGCTAAGAAATTTTGTCTTATGTATACACATTTTTGTTATTTCAAAGACGGTTTGATGCGTCTTCTCCATTCAAAACACATATCCACAATACTTAACAACTGGTTTGCTAACAATTGTATAAATATATGTAGCTTGAATTAGAATGTCATTGTTTTCAAATTCTTTGATTTACCATACAACTTTATTATTTCTGCAACATTGAAGCACACATCACCTTCAATGACGTTCCCAACTCTTCTGACAATATTTTTAACATGAACGGGTTTCTTTGCAGACAATCCATCGTCCGATTCAAACTTGCTACCACTCAAAAATTGTATTTTTAACTTAATACAAATACGCAGACTTTTTATATACAGATCCTGATTTATAAGGATTTTTTAAGCTTGTAGAAAAAGTTTTCCGAATGTTAAGTCTAATTTTATTGCTACTTGCTGCTCCGTGACGTCCTCCAACGTCATAGTTTTTTGCCTTTTTTAATCAAGTCCATATGTATTTAGAAGCTGCTATCTTTTAAATGATACGAGATATTACATAACCTGATTTCATTTTAATAAATACAGCAATACTTTATTTAAACATGTAAATTTTATTTCGTTTCAGCTCAATTTATTAGATGTATAGCTGTTAATACTATTAAGTGAAAATTAGAAAATTACTCAATTTTGACGGGGCTCCGTGACCCCATTTTTGCTGTTCTAAATCCTTGGTAATTTTAATAAATATGAGGATACATTCCAATTTTTTTACCCAAATTATTTGAATCTGTTGTTAAAATATTTGTACCAAATTTGGATATAATATGACGTTAAATAAAAAAGTTAGGACAAAAGTCTACGAACTTTTTGAATGACCCTCGTACTTTAATGTAAGACGATATATGAAAGACAATTTCGTTTGAATTTATATTTAATTTTTCACCCACAATGATTGAAGGCATTCTGGCTGAGTTGATCAGACATGCATCTCCCTTCAATTTAAAATGATTCTATCTCTGCTTTAGATATTAGCAGACCATGGATTACCTAACGATGAAATGGAAATACTGGTACACATACCTAGACGTCAATAAAGACGGTAAGATTTCTATGGAAGATGTCGAGGAATGTCGGAAGAAGTTCACTGACCTCCATAAACTGGCGGGAGAAAAGGCCAAAAATGTCAACGTGGATATAGAACAATGGTGGAACACGTACATTTTCCGCGCAGGCGCAGGAAAGGAGATCAGCGTGGATGACTTTGTTTCGATCCTGTCGGCTGATTATAAGAAGGACAAAGCAGGCTTTAAAGATAGCATGCAAAAGTGTTTTGAAAAGGTTTTCGACGTCATAGATATGGATAAAGATCGCACGATTGATCTCGACGAATTTGTGTTTGCTTTCAGAGCGTTTGGTCACGAGAACGAGGCTGTCCTGAAATCCGTGTTCGATTCGTACGGGCAAAAGAAAGTTCCCATGAAAAAGCTAGTAGATTCCTGGGTCCAATTCGTATGTGATGAAGATAAATCTAAAAAGGATGTGTTATTGGAAGCTTTTAAAAAAGGAATGTAAATAATTTTTATGACATAAACCATGCACTGTACAGTTAAACTGATGAATAATCATCTTTATCATTACAAGGAAATTAAAAGAATATATATCGCAGTATCTTACTTTGATCACTTTTTTAATTACATTATTTTGTTATTTTCTTTGACTTGATATTATTCCTTAAAACATTGAAATATAATACTGAAAATGAAAATGTGTACAAAATATTAAAACTATTTATGAACCTGAATGTTTTTTTCTTATCATCTCGATCAAATTTCAATTTATTACCATGCATCAAATGTTTGAATGGGATGCAGTTTGTACGAACAAAAAATTTAATTTACTCTTAACCTTGAAACAAGAAGGACAGTAGTGTTTCTGTGCTTTTTTCGGCGAGTGTGGGGGTCTTTACATTGGGGGGACCGAAAGCGCGAAAACAATACAAATACATGTACAGTAATGTTGAAATTAGAGCTCAATTTTATCTCTTTCATGTTTTGCTGTTCTGCTGGATTGCTTTGAAAGGTTTTCTGCCATAATCAATTAGCCATAAAATTCAAAAAGTTCTTTTTTTAAGCGAATTTAGATGGGTCACTTAAGAAGCTATTACAAATAAATCGTAATAAAGTTTAGCGATATTCAATTTTGGCGATCTTGGCATCCTCGCTTATAATGCCAGAATTAGATCTTCGCTAAAAATTCTACTTACATGTATACGGTACAAAAAAAAAATAACGAACAGTATAAAGCTGCATGAAATAAATACATAGATATATCGAAAAATATTCGAGCTCAAAAGTGCCTTTAAACAAGATTATTCAGAAGCAGAGCAAACACGGACCACTTAAACATCTAAGGTGGGATCAGGTGCCATAAAGAAGTGAACACCCCCTGCCGATCTGATCTAAGAGAATGTATTTATCAGGACTGATTTATAAAAATATACTAGAGTAAACTTAAGTTAACTGTAGTGTACTGTAGTTAATTACAGAAAATCAAAGTTTAAAACTTCACTTTAATGAATGATACTGGAAATATGACGTCATTAATTTGGTACATTTTAAGGTTAATGCGGAAAAGCCCCAGATTGACGGATTTTTTTAAAAAAATTTTAAAATCCACCGTCGCCCACTTTAATTTTTGGATATTTACATATCTCAAAATCTTTGTGAGCGATGCATACAGAGTATGTTTTCTGAAAGAAAAAAACACTAAAAATTGATGGCTTCAGCACACAATAAGCATCTAGGAGGTTACATGAGAAAAAAAAAATGAATTGTGTATTTTACCGCATGGAATTTCTATGATGCTAAAAATTGAATTTTAATTTCTTATAACACTTTCATATCTGAGAAAAATACAGGGCTTGATGGAAACTGTACCTTGTTCTTTGAGATATATGTCCTGATAGTGTTTTTAATTATGTGAACCATTGGTTTTTCAAAAAAAAAAACAAGTTCCGTGCTGTCATTGATTTTTTATTTAAAATCTTCCTAGCTGACTTTGTGTGAAAATTCATGTCTGTTCGCGTCAATACCTCCTGGGGAGAATTGATTACAAAGAATAAATATACAGATGTATCTATAAGAGCCTTACCAAACCCGTGTATAAATGATTAGTCAATGGATGAATAATTCAAAATCATACTCAGGGGGTGTTGGAAGGACTTTGTTGCAACCATTTTTCATTTTCTCTCTGATCATTCAATTATGTATTTTGGAATCTGCACGGATTTCAATCAGTAGAGCCGTAAAACATCGAATCAATTCATGTTTGAAACAGGTACTTACACTCTTTTTTGGCAATATTCAATTTATCCTTTTTTACATACAAGGATGATACATGCAAACTTATCAATAAAAATTATTCTGACAAGTTTTACAATCGATACAAAGAGGTTGTCAGCAAATACAGCATATGTTTAAGTTAAATGATTATTCAAGTTTAACATATAAGGGATGTTAAAAAAGTTTGTTCCATGATGAAATACATTGTATTTTCAAAAATTTCAAAATAGTGCTTAACTAAAGAGATTAATTTTCAAGTCTGACAAAATCACAAGAGTGCGCTTTAAACATGTTAAATTTAATGCAATCCATTTCTAGCTGAAAATTATACAATTGTTCATCCATACGAAAATATAAACCGGTATAACATCTTCAAAGCACCCGAATGATAGAAATACTGGTCATTTTGAGTAAAAATAAAGGCTATAATTTACTTTTCTTTCTTCGTAGCTTAATTATCTTGCATCAGACAAGCTGGTGAGCGAAGGTATAACAACGATAGATCTCTTTCCAACAGAATAGGTTTGTCATTTTGAAATTTTCCACAGATTTGATAATTTTTGCTTAGTATTTGAAAGGAATGTCCTGACTTGTGTGCTTAATATATGTCAAAAATGTACGCCATTCCTTATTTTTTCTGAACAGACATCATCTGTTTTAATACCTGCCCTCCCCTTATTGATTCAACAAAAGACAGTTAAAACCTTATCAGTAGCAAGAACGAACTCTGTAAATATGAAATATCACAAATTGTAAATATCTTCTCATCGTATTTCATTTTGAAAATAAAAGAAAACATGTGGAACGAACTTTCTTAACACCCTTTATAAATCCTTTTTACACATTGAAATACACATTCAAATATGTTCCCGGTTTTCTACATCATTAGAAGGAGCAAATTAAAGTGTGGATTGACCGATTATGACCTTTTCTCAGGGAATTGTCATCTCTACTCCATGCCCTTTATACCGAACGAATGTTTTTGATGTTCCTTGTTTTCTTTCCTTCCGTTTTTTTTTATTGTTTACAAGAACGTTGAACCTTAATATTGTATCTCTAAATGTCAACAATACAATCTATTATCTTCTTAAATATTTCAGATCTCCAAATATGTACAAGCTTACTCAGAAACTCAGCTCTCATGATGTTAGGGCTTTAATTGGTTTAGGAAAATTTACTTTCCATGCAATGAAATTCAGAAATAATAAATAATTTAATTTATATGTATACATTTACATGTATTATATACTATATGAATTTTTCATGTAATAATGGAGAACTTGATATATATTGTATACCTGTTGGTGTATGTTAGTCAGGCAGATGGACACAAGGGGTTCCACCCCCCGCAGACTCTCGCCACTCGTTCATTAGGTATTTCCACATTTCTATGGAAAGACCTATTGATTTCCTTCTGTTTCTTCTTTTCCTTTTTTATTAATTTTCTGCCGTGTGATTTTGAGTTTTAAAATTTATCGAAAAGGTTTAGAGTCGAGAAGAATTTACTCCGTAAAAATTTTTTGCATTTGACCCTTGGTATATAAACTATGACTCCTTTCGGAATTATTATCCCTTTCGCAAAAAAGCTTGTTATCGCTACTCCTCCAAAACCGTAAACCATAGAAGTATGGAACCTTTACGAATGTCGTTGACTAATCGAGGGAACTCTTCAATCTATTTATTGCGAAAGCATTCATTGACCCATTCAATGAGTTACTGCCCCTGAAACTTTTTGATTTTTAGGAATAGAAATTAAAAATGGTCAAAAGGAGAAGTCGTAGAGACATGGGACCAACTGCATAAGATTCATTGACCTTTGATCTTAAAATTTATGCAAAGGTCAAAGGTCAAGGTCATTTCAACATGAGAAAATAAGCTCTAAAAATATAAGTCGTAGAAGCATGTGGTCAATTGCATTGTGACCATTGACCTTTGATCTTGAACATTTTGTCAAGGTCAAATGTCAATGTCATTTCATTTTTTTTAACTATTCATTTTTTTATCCTTTAAGACAGCTTGGGTTTCTTATTCATGGAATTGAATTTAAAGGAGTCAGATATAAAACAAAATTGAAATTCAAAGAAGGTAGAAAGACCTCTGATTGTTCCGCGAACAATAAGTCTCCTAGTTATATGTATTTTTGTTACATACTGATGAGCTGTATCGCCTATAGTTATTTATAAATAAATAAAGAATTATAACAATAGTTGTGACAAACAGGGCTTTTGATAAGCATGCCTATACATTTCAAGGCGCTTATAATTAATTCTAGAAAGGCACACATTATTAAACACTTTTAAATTAATTATATACTAAGAACGTAATTTTTCTTATCATAGTGGCCGACCCTTATCAGCTTTTATCATAACAGAAATTGTAAGATTATTGCAGAGCGTTCTATCTAATATTCGTTATCTGTATATTTATCTACCTATTGATAACAATATACCATTTCTAAGATTGGAATAAGTTATACACATCACATTACATGGAATATTCTGCAGTTCTGTTGATAAGAAACAACATTTTTACCAAACTCAGAATAATTCCAAAAATCATTTAATTAAATTAATAATGGTTTCATAACCTGGCCCCGGGATCATGAAACAGACTTAGACTTAAGTCAAAATTTCAAATATCTATAAAATCTTTAAAACTTGTTAAAGGAAACTCATAATTTGCAAACAACAGCAGACTGATGATACAAAATCGGAAAGCATTTTCATTTTAAGCTGCTTGACTTCTAAAAAAAAATTCAGCATCTAAGACATTTTTTGACTTAAGCTTAAGATGTTTCATGATCCCGGGGCCAGGATCTGTATTTTATATAAACACTGTGATGACCGCTATAATGAAATTTAGGAAAACCCAGAATCTAAACTCTTCCATTTTACACTAACAATGTATAACAATTTTAGAACAATGTTAATAAAGAAGGGGGTTTAAACTTTAAATGCTATTCTAATTAAATGGACTTCTGCTTGGAATTCTTTCATTCAGGATATTCAAACAAGAAATATGAATGTTAATTTCATTCGGTGTTGCTATAAATTATTTCATTTTTGAATACTGTATTAGTGAGAGTTCATTTGTATAAATATTGAAATAATGACAATGAATAGGGGAAATTATATTGATAGATATTTGCAATTATATTTCAAGTTAATTACATTTGTAATTCTCTCGACTTGGCATACAATAATTTGTATTATTACATTTTTACCCGTGAAATACTGTAATACTGTAATTTATTTATTAAATAAAAATGATATCAGTGCGGGAAAACTCTCGATTTCCCTTTCCATAACGAAGATTGTTGTAAAAAAAAAATTTC